ATTTGTATTTCCACGAATAATGATTCACAGTGACGTAAAGTAATTGAATCAATCATAGTATATGATAATGACTGGTGTACATAAAGACCGACACCACTACCACTGGAGTAGTTGCGGCTATTATTAATAAAGTTATATGGTGGTATTTTATAAATTGAAGTTTCCGAACCGGGATGTAACCACGTTTCAGTAAATCAGCAAAGGTACTACATAATCTTGGTAAATTTCTACATAAAGTATTCAACCTTAGAAGGGAGTTTTCGTTACTTTCGGTATAAGAATTTTGTTATATATATATATATATTTAAAAAATTTCTGTATATTCTCCAGTGCTTGTGTTTGTGTTTTTCTGTTATGTCGAGTCATATGGGCCTGTGGCCTAAAAGACAATAAACATTATTTATTTATTAATGAACACAGCTCCAGACACATTCAAGTATCTTGTTTGTCCAAAATGGCTGCTAGTTGGCCATTTTTCTTGGATCATTAAGTAACTTGTCATGCATGTGTATGTGTTATAAAAAGTGTTCACTCCAACAGAAATAGACATGCAGTTTTAGCGAATCTATCAAAGAGCTCATTGTCAACTAAGGCAAAGGCAAAGCAAAGGTTAACAATGAGCTTTGAAAGTTTGTATGTCCACTGCTTTGTGTTGTTATACCCAATCCATCTTAAAACTGAAAGCACAACGTTCAATTATATATAGCATTTGTCAAGGACATCCTCGCTCAATGCATTGCACAAATCTATAAGTTGAAGTAGTTCATGATTAGTAACTTTTGTCAAGTTTTATTATGGCTTTGTACCTACTAACAGTTTTATGAACCTATTATTCCAGTGTTACAAAACCACTTTTATTAAAAACACTATCTGGCACGACCCTCACCCAGTGCATGGTCATACTAAGCTCAAGTGTGCATCAAAACACTGAACTCAGCTGTGCATGGCTTGATATAGGCTTATTTAACACTTGCATGCAATATAATTGCACTATAATTATATTTAGATTCATTGTCAAAAAAACAAAAAATAAAGCTGGGAAATCCATGATTCACCGAGACTTTATGGACAATATGCGCAAGAGCTGATCATATATATGTCTGAAAGCATGTAGCTAGGGATTGTGGTGTAGCCCAGTAGTAAAAGTAAGCAAAACTGCTATGAAATCCTGGAGCTGTCTCCAATATGTAGTAAATGTAGTAAAAGCAAGCAAGGCAAACTAGTATCACATGTCCCCTTGACAAGTTATTAGCGTAAATTCAGAAGATCCCCAGGTGGAAGTAGACATTGGAAGGTGTAATGCATGAACTTGATTGACTGTCATGGTCATGAGGTATAATAATATGTACTGTATTTGCCTAAAGTTTGAAAACAAGATCGACATATGATGCACGTTTGAGAAATGGCTTTGGACAGAAGAACCAAAATTAATAGTCAGGAACGTAGTATGTAGTTTAATTACCATGACACTTGATGCAACAAAACATATCTGAATGTAGACAGAGATTGACAATGGCAATAACAAGGGTCAACTACATGTACTGAATCAATACAATCATTATTTAAATAAACATCGTACATACATTTTATTAAACTATGAAATAAGGAGCAAAACTTTGTACAAAGATATTTTCTGATGTAATAATATTGTCAATGTGTTATATACATTTCTAAACAACTTTTCTTTGGATAATAATATCTTAAATTGTCCATTTTCAAGAATGCTTTTCTTAAATAAACTTGGCGAAGATTAAAAATAGTTTCACAGAAATTTGATGTATTATTTTTACAAAATAGATAATCAAAGTTGTAGTAAATGATGCATTTTAAACAAAACACATCCACATTTGCCTTCATCTGACTGGGAATGTGGGAGAACTAACTTGTGGTCAATAGGGCTATAAAATTCTCACAACATTACATTTGTATACAAATAGTTACAGTCTTCATTACGTCAGTTGTTCACGTCTGGACACTGTTACCATGCTGGGACCAGCAGACGTGGCTGACGGCTTGTGATCCAGAGTTTGTGATTCACGCTTCAATACATTGAGTAACGTCTGAGAACTCTCTAAAATCTGTTAATTGAGGGGAAAAAAATGAAAATATTACATTTTGGTAATAAATGAAGTTTCAGAACTATTATGTGTGTTATATTCTAAGGTTGTCTTTTCCAATTGTCTGACACAACAATGACAAATGAATTAAATGCAAGGTTCATGAGTTTACTTTGAATTGATTGTATTTTATGAATAGAATGGATGCACAAACAGGAAAAGGTCAATGGGTTCTAAACAGTCCTCCCAAATTTCTAAGAAAGTTGCAACTACACAAATGCCTTTTTGACACTATTAAAATGTTTTCTATTCAAGAATTTAACAATTTGACAATCTAACGCCATTCGTGGGAACAATATTTTGCAAATATTATTGGGAACTGCTGTATTAAAGATCCCAATGAAATGTTCACAGCTACAAAATTTCATGGTTATCCCAAACTAGTGAAAATAAAGTCTATAAACAGTAAAACGGTATATTAAAAGCCGATTATATTTAGGCACCGATCGAATTCAGTACTCAGATTCATCAAAGTCTCTGTGTTGTAACTCCACCACAGTGGAGACACGATACAAAGAAAAGGTTCATGTGTGGAGAGATCTAATGCAAGAAAGAATAGCATGACATTTTGATTTAATGTAAATCTTAATTTCATTGTTGTGTGAGACAATTTGAAATTACACATAAACACACACAATAGCAACTACAATTTACTACTACTGATATGTTCTATGTGACCACATTGCAGTTCAACCATGGAATGTTTCCAGCTGGACTTCACATCTCACTACATGCAGTACAGCAGACTAAAAACAAATACTATACTTTCAGTGCATGCAATAAAAACATCAGCCTTTGTACATGAAACATCACTGGCACAATGGTATTTCAAGAGCAGAGCCCAAGTAATATGCACTGTGCTAGGATTTTCATACCACAGGGAGGCAAGGACATTATTGCAAACATTAAGTTAGTAACTATTTTTAGTTTGCATGCAAATCTCTTGTAACGTCCAGCTACAGAAACATGGCACAGTACAACATAATGTCATCATCACAGAGTGAATCTGTGTATAATAAAAGCAATAGCGAGTGATTCCTATATAGTAACACAATTACAGCCATAATGTTAGAAACATACATGTGTATATATTTACAATTTCAGCATTATGACCATATGTGACAAGTCTTCTTCATTTAAATCATAGATGTCAGTACACAATATAGACTGAGCCATCACAGATTTTGCAGCATTTCATCAGAAATATTATCAAGATAAATCTCGGAGAAGGTTTCCAGAGATAGAAATAAGAATATTCTAAAATTAAAATTAGTAATTACTGTTACACAATAAAGAGAGAAGTAATAGGGAGTTTAAAGAGAAGACAATACTATAATCAACTACGAATTGATAAGGCTTGTGGCTTTTCAAGTTCTTTTCCTAGACATTTGTCATTTTGTACAAATCAAGTGATGAATTCCCAAATGGTTTCTGCTGTATATATAGAATATTTTTTGCAAGAAAATAATTGCTTGCACTACATGAAGAAGACTTTGTCAGTTACTTTCATAGAAAACCCTCTGTTGTTTGAATGCAGGTGAGGTGCATGCTGGGAGTTTATGTTTCAGCTGATGAAACATTCAACTTGGATGTTTGGAAGGAATAGAGCGTTAATATTATGAGATGGAACATGGAATGATGGTGGTTAGACTGCAGTACTTTTCTTTGGATTCAAGTAATGGGAGAGTAGTCTATTTTTAGAATACTACTTATCAGCTTTGAGAAGATATTTAGTTTGCATGGTTATTCAAGTGCTGAATATTGTCAGTATCACCAGTGTTAGCCTGTCTATTCTGTGATGTTTCAGTCAACAAAACATGCTACAAACACAGGACACTACAGGCTGGTTACCATCTCAAAGCATGTACAGGCTAGTTGACAGTCTCACATTTGACTGAAAACGATGACAGAATGTGACTAAGAGATGTTTACAAAATGATAGTTCACAACACAAATGGAATAATTTCTATGCCATTGTTATAATGGTATACACCCTTACCTCACATTTTATTTTAGCTACCGGTAACTTGCCGTCTTGCTTTTTCAGATTGCAGTTGATATAGGGAAAGATTATTTGAAAATGGGACTACTGGTTGAAAATGATAATATAGCTAAATTAAGATGTGGGTATATCAAGGGTGACACCAAATTCACACACACTGACACGCTGCCATTGTGACTGTTTGAATTCAGGATTGAACAATAGTCAGCATCCTCCACTTTTGATATGCAAATTATGAAACGCAAGTTGTATGTGCAAATTTTAAGAAAAGTACTTTAGGAAAACAACGACTGAATCGAATTCATGTAACCATTGAGCTTACAGTGAACTATAACATTCTGAAAACATCTCTTAAAGCAAGCACAGTGGGGAAACTGATAATTCATTTTTGAGGCAAAATGTGTTGATATGAATTATAGAGTGTGGTTTTACAAGCCATATGACTTGAAAGTACTGCAGTTGGTTCTAACGTATGATAAATGTATTCATGTACTAACACAACGTGTGAAATGAAGTTATGTCTGTAGGTTGGTGAATGCCGGAACACCTTTGTCTTTCAAGACGGATGATTCTCGTTGTAATACATTAAGTAAAGTTTGTGAACTTTCAATTATCTGTTGTGAAAGAAAAATAAAACAAAACCAGCCGAGAAGTTAGAATAAGTCATGACAACCAGGACACCATTATTGAAGATGTACAGGCTTGATATGATGTGTTTTAAATGTTCAAATAACTAACCAATCAGCTTGGGAGCTGAAAGTGTTGGATTACGGCACATTTAAAACAAGTTATATTTAAGTCTAGCACAGCCCCAATGACAAACACAGTAAAGAAACGTCATATATGATTTATATGAACATAAATTCAGTATGTATTAAAAAAACCAACTGTCATCAGCCGTCCAGATGTGTCTACCGTATTTGCTCTATTAGAAGCACATCTCCAATAGAAGCTGCCAGCCAGCTGTCTGCCTGTCATATTGGGCTAAATTTCTACAAACCTGTCAGCTTACAAAATAGCTATAAATAATCAACAAAAAAAAACTATTAAAGTTTGTGAATACAAACCAGCAACTATTATTGTGCATTTCAATATAGATTTTAGACAGGCACTATCTACCAGGGTATATCCGGGAATAGAAGTGCATGTAAACTTTTAACAGTTGTATGTATTGTATACTGGGTCATTATAAATACGACTTATTTTAACCATAAACTGTTGTAATTTACGTAAGCACCTGCGTTACTAATAAAGCAAATACGGTATATAAACTCATTCCCCAAATACTGTTTTTTCCCCCTAAACTTTTGAGCAACAAACGGTCATCATAATACTTAGGTCATATAAAAACAATTTTGACACATGTGTAGAGATGAACATTGCCTAAATTTAAATCAACACAAGTCACAGTAAGGTTTGTGGTATGTAGCGCATGGCTAGCCTACACTGAATTCAACCCGAAACTATTATCAACTATTATCTTATCAAGAAATCGGAAGTACTCTTGAATTGACCCAGGCTTGTTAGTCCAAACTATGATTACAGAACCCAAAAAACTAACTATCGTACTAACAGAATCCTTGGTCAATTTTGCAACTTCAGAATGCTCAGAATCTGATTTCAGGTAAATAATCAACATTTTACAATCATTTTAGATGGATATAATTGGAGACTGTTGTAAAAACTATTATCATAATGCAGTTTGTATATCAGGTCCATTAAAAAAATATTCATGTTTCTGGTCATTGTATGTGGCAGTTAAAAATGTTTGCATTAAATCGGTTTGGGTTTGTTTTGTTTTTTTGACAAAAAAAAAAAATGGAAGAAAAATTCCATATTCATGAAAAAATCAAAATAAATGCACTATTTTAATGGAAATTTAAAAAAAAATCAAATAAAAAAACAGGAAAAACTTTCTGGGCCTTACAGCAGTTATAGACTCCAATCCAGGCATTGTAACCAACATATAAAGTCAGGGACTCCCCGATTGATGTTGAGATTTCATGTTGACTTT